AGACACACAGGCCTGCGTGCCCCTCCCCCTCCTCCCCTCCTCCACACCTCTGCACCTTCCCTGTCTCCCTTGCCCTCCCGTGGCTGCTGTTCGGGGGTTGACCCCACTTCTCAGCAGGACACTCAGTGGGACGCACACACAGCCATGCGTCTGCAGAAGCGTCCCTGCTCACCTGCCTTCAGCTCTCTAACCAAGTGCAAACGCTTTTGCAAGAAGCACCATCTTGGAACTGCCTTACGTGGCTTGGTTATTGTGGGAAATAGAAAGAGGTCAATTGCATTATTCCAAAACAGGAGTCCACAGACAGCCGGATGCTGGTGGCTCATGCCCATAATCCTAACTCACAGGAGGCTGAGATCTGAGGATCACAGTTTGAGGCTGGCCTGGTCAGAAAAGTCTGTGAGACTCCAACAAACTGCTCAGATAAAGCTGCACATAGCACTGTGGCTGCCCAGGCCCAGAGTCCAGTCATGGCACTGCGGAGGTAGGTGGTCATGAGGGAAGTCCATTGATGTGGGTCCCCGACCTTAGCCCTGGCCAGGGTCAGCGGGATGGCCGGCTGCCTGCAAGGCCAACACGGAGGGTGTGATTTGATCATTCCCGGCCATGTGCATTCCCCAGTTGAACCCGGCCTTTCCCACTCTGCTTGCACCTGTGGCAGGGTGGCCTCCTCTGCACCTTTGTTTCTCTTCTCTGCCCTGTGGCGTGGTGGCCCGCCCTGCACTTCGGAAACCTTGGGGCCACGCCCCCCTGACCTGTGGGTTTCTGACCAGGTCCCACAGCTGGGCAGCACTGGTGGGCTCAGGCCTGGAGGACCAGCTGCCAGTCGCCTGTCTGTAAGGGCTCCCCTGTGGCATACCCCTGGCAGCAGCAGCCCCCCTGGATCCATTTCCTCTGGCCACAGTTCTGAAGTTCCCCAAATAGGGGGACAGTGGTGTGCAGTTCTGGGGGTTGGCTGTCCTGTCCTGGTGCGTGGCTGCCACGGGGGGTGGAGGGCGGGGGTCTGGGGAGAGGACGCCATCCTTCACAGGTCCCGGCTCAGTGCTTGACTCAGTGCTCCGAGATGCTCACGCTGCCATCTCCCCTTCCATCCTACACCTTCCCTGGCTCAGACAAGGACCTCTGCGGGCCCTCAGCCACACAGAGAACGGTAGGGGTGACAGCAAGGGAGCGTGGGGGGGCAAACAAACTGGCCCTTCCCGTTACCTGTTAAAAGCCAAGTGCTACTGGACAAATAAAACAGTGCTCAAACCGGCCTCTGGCTCCACTTGCCCTTAATTACCTTCTCAAAAAGTTACTAGTTTGGTCATAGAGCGGAGCCACGGGCTCTGAGCTCACTGGAGAAACCACCTCTGCGTGTGAGCTGTGGTACCATTGCTGGGTCTCTGTGCAGACATGGGAGGCTGGTTTTGTTGAAGTGCTGCCTCTTCCCGGGGCCGAAGCGTGACAGGGGGCCTGGCGTCGGCTTCCCGCGGTGCCTGTGCCTTTCACAGCCCTCAGCTGGGTCTGCTGCTACTCAGCTCTGTGTGAGACATGCTGGTCATTTAACACGTGTTGTTCAAGCCGGGAACGCGGGGTCGAGGTCACCTGTGGCCGGTTGGAGCTTGCGTGTGGTTTTCTATCCCACCCCGCTCTCTGCACAACTCAGCACCTGAGTCAGTCCACCTCATCGGAAGGCCCAGACAAACTACAGGGCAGATGCTCGTGCAAGAGGACCAGGGCCTCAGTGGCTCCTGGACCAAGTGAGCGCCCATCAGCATAGCAGGTGCGGGACCAGGACGCTTGTCCACCGCAGGAAACATCCCCGGAAGCCGTGACCGGGGCACGCACCACGCTCCGGACCACTCCAGAGGGAACCGGCAGAATTCTGCCCTGCCTCTGCTAAGTGAGCAGCCGGCTCACCATCGCCTCGCCCACCCGAATCCACCCCGTGCTCGCTGTCAACACATACAGCCTTCATTAGCACACATGGATAACACCACAAGTTCGTCCTGATGCATTTGTATGTATATATGGCACATTTTGAACAATTTCTCCCGTATTTTATATCATATTATAGTATCAGCTGTTCAAAGGGTTACATTATGCTGTGTACAAACACACAAATACACACACACACACGAATGCACACACACGCGCACGCACACACACATGCACGCACACACACACACACACATGCATGCACACACGCACACACATGTATGCACATACGCACAAATACAAATTTTGATCCTTCCCAACCATCAGGCTCCTTCCTTTTCCCTTCCTTACTGATACTCCCAGATAGCTTCAGTCTTTATGATCCATCATCATCATCATTGTCATCATCATCATCATCATCAT